GAGAGAGAGAGAGAGAGAGAGAGAGAGAGAGAGAGAGAGAGAGAGAGAGAGAGAGAGAGAGATGGTTGTCAGTCTCAGTATTTTGTGCATGTTCATCATTTCATTTTCTGTTTTTCCTTTTTTTCCCTGAAAGACACACTGATCTTATCTGTTGGTGGGAAGCTTCACTGCCGGGGAAGTGGGGTCGAGCGTTCCATTGGGAAGTAATGATGGCAGACCTTTTTTGTGACTTGGAGAGATTCACCGACTTTTCTGAGCCATTGATGTCTTTTTCTTTTTGGAGTATCCAAAGATTGGCAGACCTTTTTTGTGACTTGGAGAGATTCACCGACTTTTCTTAACAGCAGATATGTCCGGAGGAGTCTCTGTTGTTACGTTTCTTGTGAGGGCGTGATCCCTGGACTTCCTTTTGGGTATCATATATTTTACTTTTTACTGTTTGTGACGATATATATATATCTTCCGGCATGTTTTAGATAGCAGTGCATTTGACATTGCTTTCTGTCCCACAGGCATTTTCTTTCCTCTCCAGAAGGCTTGAACCCCCAACCCCACCCCCTTCGTAGCCCGTTCGATTCTTGCCTTTTGCCTGGGGGAGATTAGCCTAGCCATTATGATGGTCCCCCACCATATGTATTATGTATTATGTATTATATAGATCACGGTGATACAGATATTCAAGTGACAGCTTGCACTGTACTGTGGTTCAAATCATTGAAGGCGAGTTTGGTGGTCCCCACCATTTCCACCTTACCAATCACAGTGCCATCGACATTCCTCCGATTGTGCCACTGGTACTCTTCATATACCGCCCGCCGATCCTCTCAGTTGATTGCATTGTCGGTGCCACTGGTGTATGCTCACTCCCTGTCCCTCCTTCTCCCTCCCCCTCCCCTGCCCCCTCCCCCCCATCTGTGCATGAGATTGTTGTGTGTGTGGATTGTGAAAGTAGAAACAGCTAAAAAGTGAATGAAAACGTTTTTGTTGTGCAGATATTGATCAGCTGGTTCAAATTCGGGGGATGATAATCAGGTGTAGTCAGATCATTCCTGATATCAAAGAGGCTTTTTTCAAGTGCCTAGTCTGTGGTCACTCACCTGACCCCGTCTTCATTGACAGAGGTATCTTTATTATTACATATGTAATTACATACCCTGGACTCGGCCCCTTCTCCTGTCTCCCTGCAACCATCGCTGTCCTTTCTTCTTCTTCTTCTTCTTCTTCTTCTTCTTCTTCTTCTTCTTCTTCTTTCTTCTTCTGCCTCTATCTTCTTGTTCGTGTTGGTGTTGGTGTTGGTGTTGGTGTTGGTGTTCTTGTTCTTGTTCTTCCTCCTTCTACGCCTCCTCCTGCTCCTCTTTCTCGTTCTCCTTCTACTCTCCTCCTTTACCTTCTCCTCCTCTTCCATCTCCTGTTCCTCCTCCTCCTGCTTCCTCATCCTCTTATGTCGGAAGGATTTTTCTGTACTTGACATCCCCAATCTTTTTTTTTTTTTGGGGGGGGGTGCTTTTTATCCTGCTCATTGCCCTTTTCCTCTTGGTGTGCTCTTCATATATATTTCACCTACACCTTCTTTCTATCATCGCTTGCTATATGAGCAAGCTGGTGGACGAGCTTGTGCAATCACTGTGGGGGTGATGACGACGATGAGATGGCAGGACTGGTGATGACACTGATGAGATGCCAGTAGAGGGGGGGGGGGGTGGAGACAAGGCTCAAATTGAACGAAAACGGGAACAACAATAAGAAGAGCAAAAGGGACAACAAAGGGAACAGCAAAGAAAACAACAATGAAGGGAACGATGAACAGAATGACGAGTTGGGTTGGGTGAACCAGCACTTGTTTGTCCATCGGCTATGGTGATGCCGATCCGATGATCTTGTTGAGAACTTGAGATTAATGCAGTGAAAGAAGTCAAGTTCTCAACAAGAGAATGATCAACATATCGTGAACGGCAAAGCAGCGACTCGAGTACTGTGACGAAGAGGGAGGGCACAAGATTGGTATATATACCAGACAGAGGCTGGATGTATCTGACGGCAATTACAGTTCTGGCACGATGTAGGATACAACAATTACAGTCCTGGGACGATGTCAGATACATGATGCAGGTGGGACTGTAATTGAGATCAGATACATCCAGGTGTGGCTGTAATTGAGGTCAGATACATTCTGAGTGCAATTACAGTTCTAGACTGGGTTGGGTGACGAAGAGGGAGGGCACAAGATTGGTATATATCCCAGACAGAGCCTGGATGTATCTGACCGCAATTGCAGTTCTGGCACGATGTATGATACCGCAATTACACTCCTGGCACGATGTCAGGTACATCCAGGTGTGGCTGTAATTGAGGTCAGATACATTCGGGCCAAAATCGCGGCCCTGACGATGATGGTCCTGGCACGATGGGGTAGAAGGGTGGAAGAGGAGGGGGTGAATAAGAAGAGGGGGCAAAAAAAAAGAGGGGGTGGGGGCATAAGAAGAGGGGTTGAATAGATTCACAGTTATGATGGGTCTGGCGGTGAATTGAGTGGGTTGAAGAAATGGGCAAGGGGTTGATAAAAAAAAAAGATGATAGTGTGGCAAGATGGGGAAAAAAAAAAAAAAAAAAAGAAAGAAAGATGATAGTGTGGCAAGATGGGGGAATAAAAAAGAAAAAAGAAAAAAAAAAAAGAAAAAGAAAGAAAGATGATAGTGTGGCAAGATGGGGTCTACAAGAATAACTGAGGGCGGGGATAGAGGGGAGGACTAGACATTATTATGGCGCAGCCAACGGGATGTTTGGGCAGGGATGTGATGCCAGAGATAGATTTCAGTGGGCATGTCTCCACTGCACACCATTCTAAATGTATCTGGACTTAGTTATGGGTCTGTGACTCTGTGAAACATTTGCAGCGTTGGATCAGTCCGAATGTATTTGATTCATGATTCATTCCAGATACGGGTCGAATGTTGTCTGTTGGAGCGTGGGCCAATGCCCTTTTTTTTTTTTAATTTATTATATATATATTATATATATTTTACAGTATTTGGCAAAATCGGTGACATGAGGGAGGGACAGATGTGCTCAATGCAATTTTGTTGGCGCTTATTCGCAAAAAAAAAAAAAAAAAAAACACTAAGCTCTACAGGAAAGCTAGTAAAATGCGGATCCCAATTTTCCTGGATGTATCTGACTGCAATTACAGCCAGTCGAGAATGTATCTGAAAGCAATTACGTCCAGATATCAGATAACGCTGATCCCTTGTACCGAACTAAGGGTTGTAGGACTTAGGGTATGCTCACACTATTTTTTTGGGTGTATCTGACCGCAATTACGGCCAGAGCTGGATGTATCTGACAAAAAATACCGGAACAGAGCTGGATGTATCTGACAACAATTACGTCCAGAGTTCAGTGGAAGAAGCCCTTGTCTGACTGAGTACGACCTCACTGTCATGTGCGGAACACCGAACTGAGGGCGGCAGGACATAGGGTGTAATCACAGTACAACTTACAGTGGATGTATCTGACCGCAATTACGGCCAGACCTGGATGTATCTGACCGCAATTACAGCCAGACCTGGATGTATCTGACAACAATTACGTCCAGAATCTAGATATTAGTGGAAAATGTTCTATTGAGAGTATGGCCTCGCTTTCATGTGCTGAACACCATTATGCGTGAAGTGTGCAACTTCCATTTGACGTGCTTTTTTTTTTTTTTTTTTTTTTTTTTCTAAACATTTTTTGCCTATCATGTGCTGCATGCCTCCTTGTCTTTGCTGTGCAATGTGTGCGGAAGTGAGGAGAGATGTTGGGCCTCACTGCACTGCGGGAAATTCTGAATGTATCTGGATCTTGTCGTGGTCCCAATACATTTAAAATGTATCAGGTCTGATGCACTGTACAGATACATTTAGAATGTTGTTTACTCAACTTTACTGTAGCCAGTCCCGTTGTTCAATCGAACGCCTGGAACCTGAGGTCCATTCGTTTGTCAAGCACTACCTTTCATGCAGGAATGTGTGTGTGTGTGTGTGTGTGTGTGTGTGTGTGTGTGTGTGTGTGGGGGGGGGGGGGGGGGGGGGGGGGGGGGGGGGGGGGGGGTGGGTGGGGGGGTGGGTGTATTTTTTTTAATGAAAGTCTGGCTCTCCAGGGTCTTGGTTGCTATGTTTTTGTTTTTTTTTTGTGGGGGGGGGGGAAGTCTGGCCCTCCGGGGTCTTGCTGGTTATGTTTTGTTAAATTTGTTTATAACTTTATATCCAATTGTGGGACTGTTACTTCTGATGTGTGATAGGGCGTATTCAGGAGCCGACTGCATGTGCCCGGCCGGAGTGTGCCACGAAGAACTCGATGACTTTGGTACACAATCGCTGCAGGTCAGGCTCCGACAAAAGAAATGCCCATAAATGATAAATGCATACCAAAAAAAAAGAATAAAAGAAAATGAATCTTATCTTCTTTCTTTTGCAGTTTACCGCCCACCAAAACTCGACGACGTATTCAGGAGCCCAAGAAAAGAAATGACCAGAAATGTCCACGAGTGCCTTCTCTCGTCACACTCGCACTACCATCTTTTCGCCCCGAATAGAACGCTCGGTCATTCCCACTGCATCTGGACTGAAAGTTGCTCCAAATTAGCTGCAGGTTTGGACTATAATAACCGGGCGTTCTATTCGGGTGAAGACGGCAGCACTTTCCGAAGTGCGCCTGACCGAAATTACGTCCAAAGCTGGATGAATCTGACTGCAATCATGTCCAGAACTTTGTTGGAGAAGTCCTACTGTTTTCAGCCGAATAGAACACCTGTTAATTATGACTGCATCTGAACTGGAAGCTGCACCAAATACAGCCATAATGACCGGGCGTTCTATTTGGGTGAAGAGTCTGAAGACGTTCGTGTGAGTATGCCCGCAGTGTACTCATGATTATCAGGTGTTTCATCATCAAACCGACAATAGCAAATTATATTATTTTATTAAATTTATTTACTACTACTAATTTGTTACCAGTTTATTTATTTATTTTATTTACTTTATTATGGGATGTAAATGTGGCAAAAACTGTGTACGTTTGGTTAACCCCTATATGGTTGATGAGACAACAGCATCTGCCCATACTTGAAGGGTACATTCATTCAAGGGGCATTTAAGTAAAACCCCTCTACATTTTTGGTTACCCCCCTTCAAGGGTGGACTTGATTAAAAAAGTGAAGTTTATTATCCAGCGCCTTCCTCTGTGAATAGAGTGTTAGGAATAAACTTACTACCGGCTTTCCCCAAAACACGATACGTGGTTATATTTTTATGCATGTATCTGGCGGAATTTTCAGTCTAGATAAAGTGATAATGACCCTGTGTTCTATTCGGAGGAAGACGATACGTTATTTATTTTTGGCTGTGGCAAAAACTGCAGTCTTCATCATTTTGCTCTACCTAGTGAATAAGGAGAAAATTGAAAATTGAAAATTTAAAGGTGTGCCTCCTCCCGACTCCTAGCATCCAGCCTCTACTACGTTCTGGACTTGACAAAAAAGAAAAAAGAAAAAAGAAAAAAAAAAAGAAAAAAGAAAAAAAAAAAGAAGGAAATTCCGAAATTGAAAATTGAAAATTGAAAATTCCTCAGTTGGCAGTGATCATCGTGTGGAACTCTTCTCACAGCACCCACCCAGTGCAAATGGCTGAGCGAATGTAACTGTTAGCATTCTGTAATATGAATCTGTATAGGTCTCAAGTTCCAATCCTGATGCAATCAGAAGTTATCAGATGTATACAATGGATCAACGTTAGGGACTTATCCCCTTTTTCAAACACACAAAAAAAAGGGTCTGGAACCCTCCACATTCCCGTCGTCGGAATCCATGTGTGCCGAGTGAAAGCCCAGAGGTGGATGGTCTGTACCAAGACGTATTGATGTCCATGTGCATTCTGAAAGTCGCTTTTGGGCAACTTGTGAGGCAAGAAGTGGCACCATGGAACTCTCCCATGTGTACTTGGATATGCGGAGTAGAAGTTCGAAGAAACGACGACTGTCAGTGAGGCAAGAAGTGGCACCATGGAACTCTCCCACAGTGGACAGGGGAGCGTGATAACAATAATAATCTCATAATTTTCGTTGTTAATATGGGTATGGTGTGCAGCTGTTTGGATGTCAGGGATCATCACAGTTCTTTGAAATGTAAATCTCTCTCTCTCTCTCTCTCTCTCTCTCTCTCTCTCTCTCTCTCTCTCTCTCTCTCTCTCTCTCTCTCTCTCTCTCTCTCTCTTTT